CCGCCAGCCCTCGCGGAGCCGGGGTGGGGAGAGCGCCCCTCCCAAGCGCCGGCGGGGAGGGGTGTCTACTGGGAAGTGAAGCGGGAGGCCTCCTGCTCGCCTCCGATCCGGTCCCCGCGCCCGGGTCCTGCTAATCTCACCTACTCCACCTGTCGCCGTTATTTCTCTCGGTGTGTGCGCAGGATTGTATCAGGGCGGCGGTGGGAGCGCGGACAACCGCAGCAGCTAGCGAGCGCGGAGGTTCCCAACCTGACCGGCACCAGTCCCCGGAACTATTCCGTTTCTGGGTTGTGATGCTGGTGCCCCAACACTGCATTTGTCAAAACTCAAAGAAATGTAACACACACAAAAGGAGTTAATATTTTCGTATGTAAATTAGGACACAAATTTTTAAAAATGGTAATAATAATCACTCCTCCCTCAGGCCCATTTCCTGCTGCCCCCCACTCCTGCCTGTCCAGGGGCTGACTCCCGCTGCGGGGGCAGGAGTGGGAGGTGTGAGGAGAAATTCAAGGCCACTTAGTGGGGGGGGGGGGTGCTGTCAGCTGAAACCTCAGTTCCCTTTCTGTCCACTCCGGAAGTCCGAGAACATCTGAAGAATCCTGTTCAGCCCACCTCCTCTTAATTGCACCTCCTTCACCCCCACCCCCTTCTCTCTCCTTCCTTTCCTGTTGGTCCAAAGCTGAATAGGGGATCCAGACCCATCAGATACCAGCTGAAGACTTGTTAAATGAATGAATGAGCAATGCCCATCATACTCCAGACACCACAGACCTCGGATACCCTCAGTGCAGCCATCCTTTCTACTCCTCACCCCCCAACCATCCTTCCAAAGAGAAAAACCCATTTTCTGCCCCAGGGTGATCCAGGGTTGCTATGGGTGCAATGATGAGTAGCTTCTTTTATTGTCACCTTCTTCACATTATTTGAAAATTCCTAGAAATTCTCACCTCTTCCAGGAAGCTTTCCGGGAATGATCACACTGAGTGCTGCTCTCCTTGGCTTTGCCCATTCTGCGTTGAATGAGCCCTTATCCCTGTCATGGGAAACTGCCTTCCTATTTCCCAATTAGCTAGCCCAACCTCAAACAGCAGTTAATTGCTCTTCTTTGGCTGTGGGGTGCATGGTGGGGGGTGGGGGGCGGGGGGCAGGGAATCCCAGGGACTCAGCTGACATATTCTTGAGTTTGTCATCTCAGAACACCTACACTGGCCGGAAGGAGAAAGAAGACTGCTGGTGATGGGGAGAGACAGGGAGGGGGACGGAGGACCGAGTTGGAGCCAAGCTGGGATTGAACATTTGCTGTAGCTAATCCACGTGTGAATACACTGCAGCTAATTGTATGCAGTGTAAATACCTTGACAGCCTGTTTGCTGTGCCTGTAAATTCAGTCATCTCCTCAGCAAGTGAGCCCCGCCCTCGGCCTCTGTCTGATGATGGGAGGCAACAAAGAGAAGGAAAAGAGCACTAGGCCTGGGAGCCCCGTCCTGCCTTCCCCTCCTAACCGCTCTAGGCCTCAGTTTCCCCAGCTGTAAAGTTGGGAGAATCCCAGTCTCTCAGAGTGGTTGGGAGACGTAGTAACAGCTGACACCACAGGCCAGGCACTGTTCTAAGCCCTTCATGTGTATTAACTATATAATAATCCTTATCACAACTATGTGAGACTGAGCGGTTATGCTCATAGAATAACAAAGATTCAGTGACTCATGCAGCTGCCAAACGCTTAACTGGGCTTCGACTTAGTTTGGCTCTATGACCGTACTCTCCCCTGATTCTATCCTGAAGAGACCTAAGGGCCTAGTAAGTGTTTTCACTAGAAGTACTTCCTATTCTCTTCACACACATGCAGAACAACTCTCTGGGCCCCAAATTGGGCTCTTTGGGGTGAGGCAGAGTTAGATCACTAGACCTGAGTCAAATGAGGCCTGAGGCCTGGAGGCTCAGTAGGCAGCAACCAACTGCCAATTTTTGGGTTCTACCCTAGATGCTCTAAGGAAAATCCCATTATTTCCCCCAGAGAAAGCTCAGCCCTTGAGCTCCAGGAGGCCTCAGGGACCAGCTGCTGACTGGGGTGGGTGGGGGGTTGGGAGGGTGCCAGGCCAGGGAGCCAGCAGCCAGACCTTGGCACTGCAGGGCAGCTGTGGGCTTTTGTTGTGAGAGTGTGTTACTAGAAAGCTCCCCCATCTCCTCTGCCTCTTGCTCACTCACCTCCAGCGAGTCAGAGCCTGGAGGAGGAGAGGGAGAAAGAAAGGAAGAGTCTTTGAGGGGATGTTGTCATCGCCTTGCGAGGGAAATTGTCTCTGAAAATCATCCAGTGGCAGGTATCGATTCAATCTCAGGGCAAGACACTCTGGTCAGGTGGGGAAGGCTGGCTGGGAGGGGATGAGCAGCGGGGAGAGTTACGACCCTGCTGAAAGACCGGTTTATTAAATCGGGCTCTAACAAATAGCCAATTAATTGTTCCAGCTGCTAATTAGTAAGCAGTTAACTCCTGTTATAAATCGTGCTGCTCAAGACTAGTGATAATGCAATCCCGTGATGACACCTATGGAGAGCAGGGGTCTCAGAGGCCTCTGTGACCTAGGGCCTGCACCTATCCACCCCTCCTCATCCTTACCCCCCAGGCTCTCCCAGTGGAATGCAGGCTGTCTATATGCTCACCATTCATTTAACAAATATTTAATGGGCTTCTACTACATGCCAGGGACTACTCCAGGCACCGCAGATTCACTGTGAACAAAACAGAAGAGAGACCCTGCCCTCAAGGCGGTAACATTCTAGTGAAGAGACAGACAATAGATTAAGTAAATAAGGAAAATAAATAGTATTTAAATGGTAAAAAAAAAAAAATACTAAAGCTAGTAGGAGGAGATGTGAGGGCTGAAATGTTAGAGAGGGTGTACAGAGAAGATCCCACTGACATTTGAGACATTTGAGTCTTGACCTTGAAAAGAAGAGGGATTGGACAGCGTCAGTATCTGGGGGAAGAGCATTGCAGGGAGGGGGGCAGCCAGTGCAAAGCCCTGCAGTGGTGAGGGGGTGTGGCTGCACCTGGGTGGGCAAGAGGAGTAGTAGGAGCTGAGATCAGAGGTTAAGGGGGCAGGTCATTTGGGGTCATTGCAGGATGCTGGGTTTTACTTGGAGTAAAATGGGAACAATGGCAGGGTTCGAACAGAACAACAGGGC